AATAAGTAACTGTAAAATTATGATCGAATTTGAATTCATCCGATTCGCAAAATTTGTGAAATATCTGAAATTTTGAAAAGGTTTTTGAAGAACAATGAAAACAAATTTTTCCTCAGAGGAATAAGTAAACATAGAGGACACATTAAGGATTTGTTGACGCAACCGGAACGTTTTTGTTTACAAACTGTAATATTAGCGTGGTTGACATATTTCATAATAGTCACTCATAATCAAATGTTAAGCGAAAGAATTTTAGTAATTAAATGGTGATAATCTTAATGTTATTTACTACAGACATTTTACATTTTAATTGAGATGTTGTCATCGTTATTTTGAATTTATATGCTCTAAGAAATCGGCAGAATAAGTTCTTTTTTTACGGGCTGGCAACAATGTTGGTTAGTTGTATGTTTACATAGAGCTGCAGAGGTGCATATTTATTTCGTGTTTATAAGCGATATTTTGAGAATCTGTGCCTTGGCCTGTTATTTTACTTTATTATAGACAATTCTAGTGTAAGAGACAATGGTTAAAAGTAGAAAAACGTGTTCGTTTTTCAAATCGTATGGAAACGTCAACCTAACCTATCATAGGTAAGTGTTTTAAAATGTTTTCTGACCATTGGCGTAGAATAGCGAAATTCCACTAAAACAAATGTGATATTAATATGTGATGTTTTTGTAGGTTTTCATCGAATGTAGAAAAATTGAAAATATGGTGTGATGCACTAGGACGTGTTTGGAAAAATTTGAGATATTCTGAGATTTCAGAAAACGAAAAAGCTAATGTAGCTCTTGATAGCACAGCTATTTTACATTGTTCAAGTGTCTTACCAAAAGTTGAGATTAACTACGATGCATGAGTTACACAACAATAATTTGTATTGCACAAAAGCGAGTACATGGAACTTAACATTGTATTGCCAAGATGTAATAGCATATGCTGCCGGTTTTGTAGCTAGACAGTTAAAAAAAATTGTAATCTGCAGTTCCTGCTTGGAGATTATTGAAAGTGATGAGATAATTTCAAAATTGTAAATAAGAAAAACATATGGATGCTTAACTAAAGCTTCTCACTTTGTTATCGAAGTTTGTAAACATGCAGAGAAATATTTTTGGAGTTACTTACATTTCTTTAATGTAAAGGGAAAAAAGTTGACTTTAATTTCACAACCAATTAAACCAATAAGAATATTACTAGAGTAGTAGATTTTTTTATCTTTTATAAATATAATAAATAAGCACTATTATATAATATTTCAAGTATAAGTTTAAAAAATTGCAGAAAAATTATATATTTTAGTTAATGTAAATAAATTTAGTAATGTAAATAGGTATTAAATAAAATGTTTGAAATATCTGTAATTTTTAAAGGAAACTACTTTCTAAAAATCAATATTGTGTACTGTCAAACCTAGTCCAATGTGTAGGTATACGTATACTAATAATTTTTTTATTAAATGATTAATACCTATGATTTTCAACTCAGATGTGCCTAATACATAAAATGGTATCATGTACAAATTAATAAATTGAAAATTAATCATAATAATGCATAATATTTTGTTCCTTCAATTGATATAAATATATTAACTTG